GGCGGGCGGGGGTCCCCGCGCTGAGGGCGGGTCCGGGCAGGGCGGTGTGCCATGGGGAGGCTGCTTGCACTTGTAGGCACTTGCCCCAAAAACTGGGATCCGTTTGTCTTATTTGTGTGTGTGTTGTTTTTTTTTTAAATCTGAATACCTTATTGTAATCTTTGCTGGCACGTGGGCAAACTGCGAAGTTGCGGTTGTTCCCCCTCCGCCCCGTTCTGCCCCGTCACTTGGTTGCATTTAAGGGTTCTGGGTGAAACCGCGTGCCGTCCCACCATCTTCACCTTCCCGCAGCTCGTGCATGTGCCGTGGTTCTTCATTTGTAGACTGATTCTTTGTTTTAAATAATAAAAGAAATAAGGCTTAAATGAGGCGATGCATTTCTGTAATGTAAACCAGCTTCCTGCATAATGAATCGACTGTTTAAATCGCATCAGTGTTAGGAAACAAAGTGTTGGGAATCTTTTGCACCATTTAATTTAGGGTTCTAAATATTAATAAAAATTCCTCTTGCCACGTATCTTTCAGTATTGGGTCTGTCAAATAAGTTGGTCGGAATTAAACAGTTTGAAACTTTTTTCCTCCAGTTTTCATACTGAGTAAAGGGTTAATTTAAGCTTTGCCTGCAGTAACAACCTGGGGACGTATCTGTAGAAGTTGCCTTCTCTCTCTTAAAGCTGTGATTTATTGCAGGCTTTATGTTACTCTTCTGATGGAGTGCACCGTTCTTGCATGAGACAGAATCTTGCGTGTGCCTTTAACTATACTGATGTGATTTCCTAGAGGACAAAAAGGCAAATGTTAAATATCATGTATAAAGCCACAAAGAGGAGTCCCGTGCTCTTTCCAGAATAGAAATGAAAAGACTTCTGTACGCTTGCAATTGAGTATGCTCCTTCATTTATCTTTGCATAATAAGCATATCTGACACTATTTTAATGTTCAGAATAAGCGAATAAACGTATGTTTGAGGGAGCGAGGCTTCATCCCCTCTGTAACGTTTTAGAATATCTGTCATCCCTTCATGGTTGGCATGCTTCGTATTCCACAGTGCTGATGTGTCCGTAAACTTGTTACCAGCAAAGCAGTCAAAATACACCTCAGTTTTTCCTTTAAATTACAGACTCTGCCTATTGCAAAATAACTGCTTTTCTTTCTTTCTTAGATTACCTAGTGTACTCATATCATGGAACTAGTCCTTAAAACGGTGATTTAGACAATATTGACATAGCTGATAATTTTACTTTCATTAAGTGTATTTTATGGCTTAAGACCAGAGGATTCCAATACTCCATCATTTACTTATTTAAACATATTTTTAAACCAGCTGCTATATGTGTACAAGGTAGCACAAAAAGTTGGCTTTGTATTTTATAACCACTCAGGTTTGCCACTGGTGCTGGCCCAGTTATTTCTTTTCATAACAGCAAATACGGTAAGAGATTCAGTGGCTTAAATATAATCGATACCGACATCTGTCTGTGTGCTGATGGGGAGAAGTCTCTGCCATGGAACTACCACAGTGACACATCACTTGATAGCACTGTCGGCATGAGCGCTAAAGACAGCGTGACTGAAGGGACTGATCTACCTTTACAGATTTAAAAATTTGTGTGTCTAAAGCATCTTTCTATTAGCTGCCTGGAAAGAGGGTGATGCAAAAGAAACATGTATGTGCAGTACACTTTTAATAACGAGCAATCAGTTAAATCTGCTGGCATCTAAGTGTATTCTTTCTGAAATTCTCTGTAATCCATAAGTCAAAATTCTGGATGTGACTTTGAAGTTCTGTCATGTATGTGGTCTGTTTAAGGTATTTCGGAAAAGGTACAAAGTGCTTTCCAACTATGAGTCCTTATGAAGCTCTTCGCCCATATGTTGCTTGAGTATGAATATCTTCATTAATGCCTGCAGTGTTCTTCCAGCATATGCTAAAACAGTACTTTGAACTTTTACTGTGTTCCCTGATGCTCTACATAAATTTCATTGCAGAGGGAGAAAAGGAAAAAAACAACCCTAAATATGACCTCTCTAAATTAAGAGAACTGCATGTTTTAAGTGTTCACTGCTGTCCTTACACGTACTTTGTTCTGATGTTCAACTTGAAGCTGAAGGAACTGTGTAGCTTGGCCCTGGTAATCCCAGCTCGTTAGGAGTGCCTTAGGACAACTCAAAAGTCAGGTGTTCAGGATGAGAGCAGAAAGATGTGCAGGTGTCATGTGCCCAAAGTATTAGGGATTGCCCTTGGCTGGGTACCCTGGCTTGGCACCTATATAGTGGAAGTCAGGTGGGCAGAGCAAGAGGAGGCAAGCTGAGCAGTAAACAGTTTGGGAGAACAGACAAGTGTATCTGAATGTAAGTAAATTTGAATTAAAATGTAGTTTTGGCCATTTATTCAGAGACTGTGGGAGGCTGGTTTTTTGTATTGGAGGGCTCAGTGGTGTAAATCCCTCCTGGAAACAGGCAACTCAAAGAATTGGTGGGTAGTCCTTGCTGCTGTTGAGTTGGTTTTGGGGTGTGTGTTGCCCATCTGCTTCTCCCCCCACCCAGGGCTTTGAGGATGCAAATATAAATACATAAATTTTGTCAAATAAAGCATTAGTACTTGACTGTAATGCTGTGGTAAACGTTTCCCATGGTAATTCACAGAGTGCTGCCGTCAACTTAGATCAAGCTTTAGCAAACTGTGCTGTGAGACTTGCTAATAACATTTTCTCTTCTAGGCTTCAGTAGCCAAAGATGAGTCGTGGCTTTTCAGAAAACAATAACTTTCCATATGACAACAATCAAATGGTTTTGGACATGATCCTGTGTTCCCTAATTGGTGTTCCTCAGCCTATCAACTGGGACAGTGTGGCAAGGCTAGTTCCAGGATACACATCCAAAGAGGTGAATTTACTAATAAAAGAATCCATATCCTTTAAGCAGTACTTTTGGAAGAAGAAAACATCTTTGGGGGAGGGAGAGGAATTGAAGTTACGGGATTTTTGTTGTTGTTAAGTAATTTATATCTAAGAAATCAAAAAGTTAAATGAGCAGCAGCTTGAAAAAAAAAGTTTTCTACTAAACTTGAACACTGAAATTAAGAAATACATTTTGCATTTTATTTCATTAGAACTGATATAGATTAAGAACAAAAACTACTAGAAAGTAAAAATTAAGAAGTGGAATTAAAAAATAAAAGTAGTTGTGCTAACATATTTCAAATTACATAGCTAAAATATTTATGGAAAGGATGGTAGTACCCACTGAGCTCATGTGGACTGTAGCATACTTACTAGCCAACCTGATCTATGCTTGCCATGATAATTCTAAGGAGGTGTGAGACACATCTCAGTTAGGTGGTTAAGAGTGCAGTTGCCTCTTGCTTCATCCTGCAAGGTGTGGATTTTCCTGTCTTTGGTTGGAAAATAATTGGAAGAACCTAGTACCCTTGTATAGTTAATCCTTGCAGACTGCTGAATTTCCTGGTGAAATGCTTACTTTAATAACAATTTTGCATTTTTCAGTTCTGAGGGGAAGTAAGCTAAAAGAGGACAGTGTCTTTTGCCCTTGTGATTCAGCAAAGCTGGAAAAAAACAAGTCAATTGTCCTTATTTTTTTGAAAACTTAATCAAATGTGTCAGCTCACATTTATAGCATTGCTACTGGGCATCACCCTGACCTCTTACTTAGAACATCAAAAGTGAATGGTTGGGAGTAGAAGCTTCTGTGGAATGTTACTTGTGCTTGGAAAAGCACTTGGGTAGGGTACTCTATTGTTTACCTTTCAGTCTGCAGACAGTAGAATGCACATTAAGCAAATAAAATAATTATAAAGGTATTGGAGAGCTCTCCGCATTAAGATAATATGATTAATTAGTACATATCTGGTTGCTCTGTTTCAAAAGAAGAAATTGTTTTAAATATGTGTAGTCCCTGTTTAAGGCAATTAAGTAAATGTATACCTGTGCTTTTATGTATGTGTTATATAGAGTGGTAGCATTACAAATCTGAGACACTACCTTGATATCAGAAGGATGTTGCTGCGTGCATTTCTGTAATTGCATGCAGCAATGTCAGTTAGCTCCATCCAAAATAAATAAATAAAACCAGCTGCCTGAATGGAACTTGACAAGCTGTGTCACAGAAGGGATCCTCTGTAGAATAAAGTAGATTTAATTGTATGTGTGAATTACACCTGTGTTAGGGTTCTGCTGCACCAAACCCATAATTGTCATTGTTACCGTGCAAATTTACAAAATGGAAAGGTTTTCTTGTTCATCAAAACAAGGAATGGAGAGATAATAGAACTGCAGTGGAAATCACCAGACCCTTTTGCCCAAATCAGAATGCAAGACATAAAGTGAAAGAATAATAATTATGAACCAATTACTTCTAGTAATATTTGACAATGTTTATGTTAAAAGAACTGTTTACAAAGAGAGAATTTAAACTCTCCCTATAATTTTGCCTTTTGAAGATCGGGCTTAAAATAATAAGGTTTAAGAAAGTAAGGTGAGATTTTTTTTTTTCCCTTTTTTGAGTGTTTAATTATGGTAATTCTTACTTATTTTACTGTGTATTTATGTACTTTCATGATACCACTACCTAAAGCGGAAGGAAGGAAGCGTTACATGTTTTATATCAATAACTGTTTGTGTGCAAAAGATGCCATGAAATACAATATCGGTTTCAAATTACAGTTGTTAAAGATTTACCGAAAGCTACTGCTTCATAATCCTATCATTTAACCTTGTGACAGTGCGCAAAAAGGTTTGATGAACTAAAAAGCAGTGGAAGTTCACCTGTTGACAACCAGTACAATCCCCTGATGGCCGCTGGTGGGAGTCCTGTGGAAACTTTAGCTACCTACATCAAATCCTCCTTGCTCGATGCACAGACAGAGTTTCAGGAGCCTGCTATTGGGCAAGATTCCATTACTATAACTGGTACGTTTTCAGTCGTTCTGAAATACATTGGCTTTGATTATAATCAGTATGTGCATGCTTTTCTGTCCTGATTATAATCAGTATGTGCATGCTTTTCTGTCCTGAGCGGTAAGTCCACCCAGAAATAGTTGTTCACCTTTGAAACAGAAAATTAAGTGCAAATATAATGCCTACATGAGGTCACTTCCATTTACTTTAGATAAGAATCGATGTTTCGTTGTTTTTTTTAATAGCTTGTCCTTCCAAAAGGCATAAATCCTTACACTGAATTGTCTGTTCAGGATTTTTGATGGGAAGAGGAATTTCTCTCCTGTTGTCTCCCCAGTGTTGTACTGTTAAACCTACAGACATTTGCAATCGCTTTAAGCTCTGTTATTAAAATAACTAGAAAGTTTTAGGTAGAAAAGCTGCAGAAAGCTGAGAAGGGGATCCCTTGAGGTCAGACCCTTCTCTCCCAGCTGAAAGCTGTGTGTTTGCTATGCTGCTCGGTGACAAGACAGCTACGTAGGACTATAGTGTAGCTACTTCATCATTGCAAGACTGTCTTGCAATGATATATAATGTGTCTTAGTCAATTGTGTGTCCCAGTAATAATTTGGCAGGAGGGGACCAGTCCTAATAGTTGTATTTCAATCACAGCACAATTAAATATTTCACATTTCCTTAAGTACTTCTCCTGTAAGAAGTTTTAATTAACTGTGTGATAGTTATTCTCTGATTTTCATTGTAGACTGAGATGTTTTCAGCACCGTGTAGGACTTGGTAAACATGTTGCATGACAAATTTGCTTCGGTAATGAGTAAACAATTTCTGTGTTTAAAAATCAAGATGATAGTGAAGTTTTTAAAGAAAATGTTCTCTGTTACAATGTCCTTCACAGTGCTGCAGCTTTCTAGTCGCTGTTCTCTTTGCAGAAGAAAAACAGCCCTTTGACCTTTGCTGGAGAACAAATAAAACATTTTTAATAACTAATCAAGAGATGGTATTTGAAAACTGTATTTTGAGTATCCAGACTGAAAATGTTTCCAATCAGCTTTCAATTATATACTTGCTACATGTGTGAAGTGGAATAAATGCTTCTTGCACCCACGGGTGGCTACTTAGAAGATTAGTAGCTTCCCAGTAGGCAGTTAACAAGCTAACTCTGCTTATAGAACTCTTCAGACAATTAGTGCGTGTTTTCTTTTTAACAGTGTAACACATGTAGTAAGTATTAATGCAGTTAAGTACCCTAATGTTTCCTACTACCAGATCCTATCCTGAGACGTCTCTGTTTTCTTTGCAACTTTGGATAAATAATCTTCCTTGTTTATATGTAATTTGTTGCTATGAAATTAGGATACTTAATCTTTGTCTTTGGCTTGAGTGAACTCAATATCTGTGAAGTACTTGTGTATTTCAGAACTGGGGATTTCAGAAAAGCGTGTTTGTAAATGTTTTTTTAATCAATTATTTCCTAGTAGATTTACTTACATCTGCTTATTGTTAGGATCAAGAATTTTGGGCCTATTTGGATTTGTTAGTAGACATGCATTACAGCAAGAAAAGGCAATCAGACCATGTTCATTTTGAGCTGGAATCTGGTTTTGGCTTCATTATAAAAGTTCATTTATTACTTGCTAATTAAAAGGCAAACTGCTGTTAAGTCATTCTGAATGCATGTTATAGCTGTAAACAAGCATATAGGATAGCCTTTTACCCAGAGTATTTACTATTAACTTTCAGAAACTGAACAGGGGGTGGGAAAAGATAGGAAGAAATGTGTAGTGAAGTCCATACATCCTTGGCAAGTCCTGTCAGCACTATTTCCTTCTCTTTAATAAATAACTTCACTGTGTTCAAAATAAACTTGTTTAATATTTGCAGACAGAACTCTTCCATGTCATTTCATTCCCCAGGCTCTTCCTTTAGAATCCTCACCTTACCTTGCATTCAGAGTCTAGGGCTCCCAGCTTGGCTGTTTGGATGCTAGCACGTGTCATCTGCCTGCAGTGGCATGGATGCCCCTGAAGCTGTGGCTGACCCAGCCCCTCCCAAGGTTTTACTAGGGTCTGTCTAGTAAATCTTCCCCTTTTATTAACTGTGTTCCCTCTGTTGTGGCTTTACCAAGGCTTAACTGTGCAAAGCCTTAGGCTATAGCTTTGGAGAGTTTTATTTCTTCTGCCTCTGGTGTGGTGACTTTGCTTTCCTGAAGGACATAAGTGCTGTGTTTTGAACTGTATAGCGCTTCCAGATCACTTTCGGTGTCAGTCTGCTGTAGTTATTGAGCTGTAAGATGAAGAGGTCTTAGTCTTCTTCAGAAGAGTACAGCCTCTCACATTAAGTAAGGGGGAGAAGATGCTTCTGGAACTCTTTTCCTAGAAATCTGAGAGCAGAGAGTAATCACGAAAAATCATGACCTTGTGAGTTTTCAGCAGTGGAAGACAGATGTGTGCCCTTCCATTATTTAAAAAAAGATAATGATCTTCCTGATTTAGGAGTAAGATTATCGAGGTTTCAAATTGCAGCCATCCATTCATCACAGTCAGAAAGTTGTCTTAACCCTCGACCCAGAAGTCACTGGGTTTGGTGAGCAGACTTCCTGGGTTTCACTGGGTTTTGTGTCCAGGTGCCGCGGCGTGCAGTGCATTTGTGAAGATAACCTATTTGAACTGAAGCACGGCTGCCCTTTATTCCTGCAATAAGCTACCTGAAGTCGCTGCAGGACTAGACAAATGTCATGGTCTGCCTTCTTTGAGCATTGTTTTATATAATTTGCTGCTTTAAGCCATATGTGCGAGAAACTTGGCAAAAACACGCCTTAAGAGACGTCTGTGCTTCGGTTTGGAAGCAGCTTATTTCCAAAGCTAACATGTTATGGCCAAAAACCAGAGTTAGTCTCAGGTGGTTATGTCCTGGCAGCAAAGCTTCCTGAAAACAGAAGTATTGATGTGACAGCGTCTTAAGACCCTCATCTCTCAAAGCAGATGAGGAGAGCTGAAGGAATGGATTGCATTCCCAGAAGGAGATGCAGGAGGTTCTGTGTGACTCTTACTGCTCTGTATTGAGACAGGACCCATCTGGGTTTGTAGCCAAGTGTCTGGGCAACCCAGCAATGCTGCTGGTCTCAGTTTCCAGTGCATGGCATTTGGGGCAGGAATTTGGATTACCTAGTAGCTCTTATAGTAGCAGACTTGTTGCTAGTTGTGTAACACTGCTCCACCAGGAGAAGCCCTACTTCAGATGTAGCTCCAAGATGCTGAAGAGCAAAATGTCAGGCATTTTTATCCTAATGCAGCCTTTTTTCCTTACATTTAAGGAAGGCCCAGCACAACGTCCACAAGGAATTGTTCTTCGGAATCTGAGAAAGGCCCTGTGCATAAAGGGGGAGAAAGCACTGATGAAAGTCAGGGGTAAGAGGATCTTTGGTGTTTGTGATCTAGGGGAACATAGAACTGACAGAAAGATGTCTAAATTGCTCGTACTTTTCTGCTGTCAGAGAGAAAACAGCCACGTCACAGTTTTTCATACAATCACATCCCTGCTTTCCATACTGTACAAGTACACGTAGAATAATGCGTGTTTGAAATCTAATGGCAAGAGTCTTTCTGTAGAGACGGCATTTACTGAGTGTGGCTTGGACCTTTTCTTAAGAAACAGACCTTTTAATGAACAATAACAAAAATCTAATTTCCACAGATTAAAATTGCTGTTGTCTGCTGTTACTGTCCCTGGTGCCTCAGTAACCTGGCATATATAGCTGCCTATTTTTTCAAGAAAATTAAAAAGGGAGAATAAGTGAGTTCTCTGTGTAATGCAGGTAGTATCCCATAACAAACTGCCGACAAAACTGGGGACTGGAGCTAGAAATTTTCTTTCTCTTGTCCCTTAACAATTAAATTGCAATGTGTCAGAGGATATGCATTTGTGTTCTTCACCTGACGATGCTATCTGACAATAGTTTCTGTTAACAGTTTGTGTTAATAGCTACTAACATCAATTTGTCCTCCTTCTTTTAATAAAGACTTGTTAGTGGCATCAGTGTTGCACTGTGTGATCCAGATTTGGAGACAAGATCTCCGTTGATTGGTTTTGATGTTCTAATTGGCTTACGGTCCTAACTTGGTTTGTGGCTTGTTTTTCTTTTTGAGGCCAAATATGGTGATTCATGTGTGCGATGAAGCAAAAAACCTCAAAGAAGATTTTGTGTGTCCTCGGGACCTTTTGATTTCAGAAATGAAATACTTTGCTGAATACCTGTCAGTGGATGCCCAGCGCTGGGAGGAGGTGGACATTTCGGTGCACTGTGACGTTCACATCTTTGACTGGTTGATAAGATATGTTAAAAGGAACACTAAAGATTCTGAAGCTAATGAAATGCCTGCTTTAGGTAAAAGAAAGCTTGTGGCTCATTTGTTTTAGGTTTGTTATGTTCTGTGCTAATGGAAGATTAATGTTTTTGATACGAGTCAGCCCCAGTCTCTTTGTTTCCGACTGTTGCGCTGAAGCTTGTCATTTGTTAGGAAAGTGTTGAAATGGAGACCCTCTGGTCATAGTAGCAGATGTCTCTGATTTCTCAACAATGACAGTTTTGAGGAAACATACTGAGAGTTGTAGCAGTGAAAAAGGTCTAATATATTTTGGGATGTGGTGTTTTTAATTAAGATTCTTCAGACCTCTTCTGAACTAGAACACGGGGAGTTTTAAAGTACTGATGATTGTTGGGTTTTGTTCTGTTTACCATCTGCTCCCCATCGCTACAATTGTTTTCCAAAATCTCAATCCGATCTGATACAATGGTAGAAGAACTTTTGCCTTTATGTATTTGAGGCAATTTTTTAATCTTTTAGTGAGCTTTTGCTACAATTAAAAAAAAAAAAAAAACCCAAACCAAGAGAACAGTTATAAAACTTGCAATGCAGAGGTTACCTTTACGCAAAATCTCAGCCTGGGTATGATGGCTACAAATGGAAGTTAATCTTGTGTAATTGTTTAGTCATTGTATCCCTATGAAGCCACATTTTCCAATTCTTATAAATTCCAGTTTCTTATAGTGGTACTGCGACCACCTAAATGATAAACCAAAACTTTGTTTCTTAAGAGATGGGAGATGCTCTGCATCTTGGAAAATGGAATGACCATTTGATGGGTAAAATAATACTTAAAATAGATACTAAATGTGCAGAAGGAGGGATGTGATACAAAATTAGAAGTAATTTATCTTAAAAATGCTTTTTTGTTGTTGCCTTTTAGAACCATCAAATGTCATATCAATTCTTATTTCTTCAGAGTTTTTGAAGATGGATTCATTAGTAAGTATTAAGAAAGAAAGACCCTTTGCCATAAGGGCACAGTAAATTACCGGATGTCGAAGAGTGAGTGTGTTACACTTTGGCTGTTATGTAAGCATGTGATGCAATGAGAACATTTTGAGATTTCTACCACCTTTCTTACTCAACATAGTAATCTAATTTGCAGAATCTCAAAGCAAGAAAACTTAGAGTACGTTATTTCTTGCCTTCTGATGACTGATCTAGAGTAACAACAATATCTGACTTCTGACAGGTTTTATCCAAAAAGATTACAAAATCAATTAATACCTTTTAGTTTATGTCCTTTTTGCACAAATGACACTTCCACAATTTGGGATCTGGTTCTCCAGCTCTGTATAAGTAACATCTTCTGACTGGTTTGTTACAGTGTTTGTGAAAAGTTCTGTCATTGGGATGACGCACAATTAAATACACAGTGAACATAGCTGTTTGAGATCTAGGCAATATGATGTAGAAGGTGTACTGTGGTTCTCTTTTTTTTTTCTTTTTTTTTTTTTTTACAAGGAATTGGTAGGTACTGCTTGTTGTTGAAGATGAAATATTTGTGGAGTTGTTTGGTATGTAGAAACCTTTTGCAGGAGAACAGAAACTCAGTTGTCACAGAATGGTCAGGGTTGGAAG